AAAATCGATACTTGAGTCAGTGGCATTCACTCACTCGATCATTCGTTCCTCCACGTGCATCGTCGGACAACCATTCAGTAGTCTTAATCGATACATTATCTGCCATCGGTCAGTGGTCACTAAGATTAGCAGATGGACAGCGGTGACGCGTCAAATTTCTGACATCTCGGGGTCCTCGCATCTCAAATACATACTGTTTGAATTTTTATAATGTTGGAAATCAACGCTCTTCCGAACTTCCTATCGACTTTGCGTGGTAGCATGGATTCAGGTTCAGAAAAAAGACGAATTCCAGCTATAGCAGGGAAACGGAAAAAGTTTTCGCTCTTGCAGCCAATCAGATGATCGAAACGGATATCAGTAAACAGGTTACTCTCTTTTGGACATCGTTGCACATTCGTAACGTAATGTCTGCTCCACTTAGACACACATCCGAAGGGGCCGGTTCGCTCAACGGTTTTTATCCTCACTGATGACATCGTTCCAAACTCAGGGCCGATCAGAACACTCGCTCTCAAGAGCAATTTTCCGGTTCCGGTTCCGGTTCCGGTTCCTCATTAATGTCCGTTTGTTGTTTACTGCTCATTACAAAGCTTACAGCGGCCTTAGCAGCATGACGCAACGACGCTTCCCTTGGTCTCCTTAGGTCATATTCACAAAGAGAAAACAGTGCTCTCCTAAGGGCTGGTCCTGACTAGCGCGTCACAGCAGTCCTTATCAATCCACTGCTGCATGAAAGCCCCTCCAAGTTTTTGTCATAAAAATCCGCTTTCTACTAATCTTGACGCAATAAGCTTCATTGCCTCATCTGCCATCAACCTGAAGATCATCTAGCGGCTGTCTACTCGTTCTTGGAACCCGATATAATGTGTCTCTTGTCAACGATGGTCGGTTCTTCTTGCAACATGTCCTGCACGTTGCCATTACAACTTTTTCACTCATACAAAGACATCGCAAGCTCTTGTCTGTGGCTTTACTCTTTCATTCATTTCCATATCGTTTCTTGCCATTCCCTCGCCTATTAGAGTGATAGTCGTTCGCATATGCAAGTTTGAACAAGGTTAATGCATCGAATTTACTTGAATCTGTTGGTAAACATAGGTTTCACCATGACCAACACCACAAACTATACGACTAAGCATTCAAACCGACCGCGAAGGTTCAGGCTCTATCTTGTTCCGTTTTAAATGCAAATTCATAATTTAGAGGTTGTCACTGGGCAGTTAAAAAAATTTTTTCGAGGTGATAAGCTTCCTGATTCTGATCGACTTCATAGAAAATTGTAAAAGAAATCAAAAACAATCAAAAACTTCAGTCTTGTATGAGACGGTGGTAAGACTGCTGCAGGTTTGTGAAGAGAATGGCCGCAAAAGCGCTGTTGCGAACTTCGACATTTGTATTATGCCTTGTGCCGATTATCACATCGAATGATCATATATCAGCGAAGTGCAGCCGCAAGGAGGGGGGCACTCGGATCAAATA